AGTCGTAAGCCTACCTTGTTCCGTCACGTTAAGGGGACCAATGTCAAGGCAAATGAAGAGACGTAGGTTTTTGGTGTGTTACCAACTGAGTTGATCACAATTTAAAACTGGAGACGTTGATGTTTGGCCTCACGATCAATGATATTCGATAGCTTCCATTTCAAATTGTCGAGAAACATCAAATACCACATAATTTTAATAAAGAATCCCAAATGGCAGGAAAAATGTGGTTTTAGGCTTTCAAAGCTCGTCATAAGGACATAATCTCACTGAGAGAACCTTAAGCAACGTTAGTGATGCTCGTAAAAGGAATGTTCATTTATTTTTTGACCATCTGGAAAAAAATGTTTATTGATGTAACTTGAATATTTAACGTTGACGAAACGGATCTCACTGTGCAAATTCCAAAAGTTTCTTGCACAAAAAAGTAAAAAAAAAGTTGGGTTAGTGTCCAGTAAAGAACGTCTAGTCAACACTACAATTGTTTGCTGTGCGAGTGGCTTCTCGAATTTACATTCCACCTATGCTTATATTTAAGCGTATGCGAATGAACAATGATTTGAGGGTTGGTGCTCCACCAGGGATTATGGTTGAGATATCAGAATCAGGCTACATGACTAGTAATCTCTTTATAAAATAGCTTCAGCATTTTATTGATTCTGTAAACCCAGCAATAGAAGAAAAAGTTTTTTTAGCATAACGCACTCCAAGAATCAAGAAGCAATTTTAAGTGCTAGAGAGCACGATGTAATAATGCTACAATTGCCTAGACATATGACTCATCGCGTGCAGACCTTGAAGAGATCATTCTGTAAGCCTTTCAAAGATTACTATACTCAATTAGTTGAAAAGTGGCTTCGTTGTAACCCCAGATTTTATGTTACACAACTTCACGTAGCTGGCTTGATTTCTGAAGCTTATGGGAGAGCAACAAGCATTGAAATTGCAGTCAATAGTCTCCGAACTAGTGAAGAATGGCCTGTTGATCACATGGTCTTCAAAGATCATGACTTTTGTGCGGCTGAAACTTTAAATGACCATGAAAGCAGTGAAACTCGGAAAGATGGTGAAAATGAAGAGTCTAATGAGACAAACAAGGAACCACTAGAGTCTACAATAAAAGCTAATGTAGAGTACGAAATAATCTGGCCTAAACTACCTAGTCCTAAAGAGAGTTTAGCCACGACTACTGCACCCACTAGGTCTACTAAAAAAATCTCGTGAAGCAAGTTTAAAATCAAATCTTAAGGTGAGTGACACAGGGGTTCATGATTATATCACTGATATTCAATCTGTACTCGGAACACATTTCTGAAGAGCCTCTAAAAGATATTAATAAAGGCATCTCAATAAATGGAGTCAAGCTCAATAATGTATGCAGATGATACAATAGTGTTTTCCAATACCATAGAAGGGCTGCAAAATACTGCATGAACAAAATAACGGAAATAAGTAGAACATATGGACTGGATATAAACACCAGCAAAACCAAGCTAATGATCATCAGCAAGAAAAACATAACTGGGCTTTTGAGCTATAGTTATACAGAAGGATTCTGAAGATACCATGGACAGACAAAATCTTCAATAAAGAAATATTGCGGAAAATGAACACAACCGAGGATTTGGTTAACATCATGAAGGACCTTAAGCTGCAGTACTTAAGACATTTAATGAGAAATCAAGGCAAATATGAGCTACTCCAATGCATTTTGCAAGATAAAATTGAAGGAAGAAGGGGCCCAGGATAAAGAAGAATATCCTGGCTTGCTAACATGAGAGCATGCTATAAAAAGAGCTCAATACAATTATTCCGTGTAGCAACCAACAAAGCAATCAGAGCCAGAATGATCGCCAACGTTCGGAACGGACAGGATGAGGTTTAGGGGAAAGCCCAGAGGTAGGAGTGCATGCTCTGCAGGAGAGCAGAGGAACTTTTTGCATCTCTTTTGGGGTCCCAAAATTAATGTTCTTAGTAAAATTCAATTTGTTTGTATGATTTTTAGAGGTTCAGTGGTATTTTCGTCTTAGACGACTGAAGTATTATGTTACAAAAGTTTATTTGTTGTAATTGCGTGTTTGTAACAAATTTTTATATTTTAAATACTACTTTACATATGTACACAGATAGGAGACATAACATTTTAGAGAAAAATTTTATGATTACTTCTTTATACAGCTACTCATTACCAGAAATAATAAAAAATTATTGTAAAATATATAACATAGGTTTAGAGAATAAAATGACCCTTTTTGCTAATGTTTTATTCAGATCTATATCGATATTTACTTAAAGACTATCGCAATTTTCTGCTTGAACTTAGCCTATTTAACCCATGAAGGACGAAGTTTTCGAAAATCTTTATTTTACATAAATAATACAAATAACTCTTATGAATGGACAAAACTTACTTAGAAAAAGACAAAAATAATTATTAAATATATTAAAACCTAAAAATATTGCCTGTTGCCAAATGGCAACGCTAGGTTCCTATGGCTACATTAACCGAATGAAATAAAAGTAAAAAATATTCTATGAAATTGAGAGATAATCGGCAAAAAACTTTCTATAGCTGTGTATGAAATTTAACATTACACTTTGTGCACAAACCTACTTCACATTTGGCGCATCTTGTTCTCATGATCGACCTGCATTCTTCACCTGCACACCTAATTTTCTTTTTACTTGGTACTGGTTCCAGTAAATGCCCAACTCCATCGTATCTAATATCATCAGATACTCTATGAAAGGAACGACTTGGGAGTGAACTAGACGGTCGGCCACCTTGTTTTGCAGGCACTCCGTATTTGGTCAGATAGGCTTGCACAATTTCACGCCTAAACTCTGTGTCAACTTGTTGCCGGATTTTTTATGTAGCACCCACACATTTTGTATAGTCGCATCTAGCATCCAGGTAATCAAGCTCCAGTACCATTTTTTCGCCCTCATTCCTATTCTAAAGCGGTTTATATTTTCGTCCATTAGGTCGGTGCCCCCCATTGCATTATTATATTTACCAATCAGGCATGGACTTTGAACCTGGATGATTTTCTTTTCAGCTTGTGAATATCTTTTTACGAGCGATTGTGGTTCCACCCCATAACATGTTGACGCTACACTTACGACGCTGTTATCCAACCATCTTACAACTATAATACCAGTTTCTCTCTCGAGAATCGACTCTACATCACCCCTTTTGCGTTTCTGCATATTAGCTTTCGATTCTATAGGGCAGTTTTTGGGAATGCGATTTTTCCGTATTGTTCCGGTAAGGCTATAGCCACGATCGTTTATATGTTTCAAAAGGTGAAGGCTCGTAAATAAATTATCGCAGAAAAATTTGTAGGGTAATCTTAATTTATCATTGGGCAGTTCATCGAGCATTGTGACGAATGGAGCCGCACATGCTCCAAAAACTTTATAATAATGATTATTTGCTTTGGGATCGGTTCCTTGGTACATGTTGAAGCTTACAAGATACCCACTTTTAGTGTTGAGGCACCAAACTTTGTATCCGAAACGAATCGGCTTTCCTTTTATGAACTGTTTACATGAGTGGCGTCCAAAGTATTTCACCATAGATTCGTCGTAATTTAATTCGCCTTCAGGGACGTAATATTCTTTATATTTTTTCTGTAAATAGTCAGCTAAGGGTCTGATCTTGTAATATTTGTCCCTTTCATCGATGGCTTCATTATTTGCAAGGTGGAAAAAACGCCAAATTGTAAGGAACCGATCTCTTCGCATAGCGTTCATGACCATTGCATTATCCATATCTCCTTTCGTATCCCAGTAAAATTTTTTTCCCAGGAGCCAATTATACCCCGATAGAATCAAAATGGCAAAGAAACACCCCATTACTCCGGCGGAAATTTTGGTGTCGGGAAAGTTCTTCTGTAGTGCATAACTCGTGCATTGGTTGAGAATGTAACTAATTATATAGTCGTCGAAAAATTATTCGAACATCTCGACAGGTGTCAACGTATTGAATGGTTCGTAGCTATATTCTGGGAAACTAGTGGCATTGTCGACCAAATCACCCGGTATCCAATTTAGGGATTCGTATTCAATTTTCTTCACTTGAGAGGTAGTTTGTGGGATGAAACTTCCGCTGCTTTCCTGGGAAATATCCATCGCTTGAACTGCATCTTCTTCGATGTCGTCATCCTCCTTGTCTGCTTCTTCGCCATACATTTGCACCTTAACATTTGCTTCCAGCTGTTTTCTAGACAGATTGTCGATGAATCCTCCCCCATCCTCCTCGCCAGAATCTTCATCAGTGAGGTCTCCAATATTTGGGGGCTCAACATAAATATTTCTAACGTTGACGTCATCTTCGTAAACCATGTTCAAAGCTTCTTGTAGAGAGAAACCCCGCCTGAAAAAACAAGATGCCTGTAGATACTAGCGTTGCCATATGGCAACGCGATGAATAAAAACAAAATATTGTAAAAGATCGCTTTTTTTCAAGGGTTGTCAAATATTCACAGAGGGAAAATGACCTTTCTATTAGAGCATAATTGTTACTTTAGCCACTTAGATGTAATAGTTATACAGAAGTAATTGACAAATTGAGCTACTTACACAAATCTTATATCCATTTTTACAACTATCAAAAACGGTGACTATAAAATCTCACAAACACCAACGAATTAAGTTTTTGTTAGGTGTACATCTTCAAATCACGTATTTTCTGCAGACCGGCACGTTCTTGGAAACAAAACAAACTAACATAACCTCAAAATAATAAGATTCGTACGTCAATACCAGTGTTGCCATATGGCAACTCCAGTCCTTCATGGGTTAACAAACATTTTGCTCATTTTTACAGATCTGTGTGCTTGAAGTACTTATTTTGACCTTTCCTTCATTCTTATAATCCGGTCTTTATATATCTGTGTTGTTGTCTCATATTTTAACGACAAAAACAAAGAAATCTCACTAAATTTTCCACCACATATTTCATAAAAATCACGATTCTACCATCGGCTATATCACGTTTATTGGACTATAACGTTCCTAATCCAATCCGCCGTGACCGGAATTTTATGATAAATTCCAGGTTGATGGGGCACACCGCAGCCGAAGCCGGCACTGATAATGCCCACTAAAGTCCACCTTCCACGTTCGAGAATTATTAAAGGACCTCCCGAGTCCCCTAAACAGGCGTCCTGCTTCCCGTTTTCGTGCCCAGCACACAACATCTCGCTGTGGAGATCGACGTAAATCCTATTGAGCTTGTGCCACCGTACACATTCTTTTATATCTAAAACAAAATAAAGAATTATGAATGTGATAGGAATATTTGTTCATTACATGCTTTATAGTTTGTTTATAGGTCAAGTTAATACAATACAGTAAAAACTTAAATATGCTTATAATTTCAAATATATTTGTTAACATATATTTACAAAAAACAGCCAGAAAACTACAGAAAATAAACTTGTTAAATACTACGCTAAAAATCTAATATATAGTCTGCGATTCGCAACTTACCAATAGAAACAGCTGAAGAAATAAGGACAGAAGCAGCGAGAATTCTGCATAAAGCTAAGACACTGAAAAATAACCTGAGCCACCAAGAAATGCGTGCCATAGAATCGCTAAACGCAGACAAAGATGTTGTAATTTTACCAGCAGATAAGGGAAACGCCACCTTTGTAATGAAGACAACCGACTACAAAACGAAAATACAAAATCTTCTAGATCCTGCGGTATACAAGAAACTTAAAAGAGATCCCACAGCAGTCACCCTACGGAAAATCAATAGACTTATAAAATCTTCGTCCATACCAGGGGATATAAAGCCAAGAATATGCAACAGCGAAGCAGTCCCACCACGCTTATATGGCTTGCCGAAAATACACAAAGACGATGTACCTCTACGCCCTATTGTGAGCTCCATAGGATCTCCGTCTTACAGCCTTGCTAAACATCTGGCCGATATTTTACAACCACATATAGGAAAAGACGATGCCTTTGTAAAAGACTCCGTCCATTTCATTGAGAAGATCAACGGAATAACTTTGCAGGAATCGGACATTCTCGTTAGCTTTGATGTGGTTTGACGGCCTAATAGCCCGAAAAAACAGTTTAACAAGTTAGGAAATTAGCTCTTCCTATTCGCTCCGTGCGTGACCATGGTAGGGGTACATTGAAACGACGCCAGCGTGCATAGCGGCGAAAGATGACAAAATTGGAATATTGGACAAAATATTTTTACGCATAAATTTTATCAAAAATCTGTGCAAATACATGTTGCGAATTTAATTGTGCTAATAATAGCAAAAACAGTGAGTGTAGTTTTTATAGGTTCCCAAAGATTACATATAAATTAGAGAAAAGAAAAAGATAAATTCCTGCTATTAATATGAAAAAGTAAATATCACATAATTTCATTTTTACGCAATTGAAATAGGAAAAATTTAAATAATTTACCTTGAATGATATTTCATAAGGCTTTAAGCTAACTGCAGATGACTTTAGCTTTTATATCATAACTTTTACTATTATTGTTTTTAATTATATGCTCTTTTGCGTGAAAAACTTGATTTGTCAGTACTAGATTTTTCCCTTTCTCTTACGTTTGGAGTTGAAAAGATATATTATGATGAATTTTGAGAAACCCAGTTTTAATAGTACATTTATTCTGTACATAAACTGAAAAAATATAGTTAAACAACTAATTTAATCAACAGTGGCCACTTGATTCATATAAAGGTTCTTTATGATTTTAAGGTCATTCTTATCTATTGAACGTTCCTGGACCAATCTTACTAATTCTGAATGATTAATACAATCGTACGCTTTCTGGTAATCTACAAAGCATAGGAAGACATGTTTTTGTTGATCTCTGCATTTCTGAAGTAGGACAGTTAAGCTATCTCAAATAAAAAGTCTTCACTTGTTATCGCTAAAATCAAATAGTACGTACTAGTTTGGTCAGGGTATTAGCCTATTAAAATAATATTTCATTTTTTTCTTTGTATTAATGTGTCTGTTGTTTCTTAAATTTTTAATATTAAATATCTGTTTGTAATGTTTAAATTCGCAAAAATTGTATGTATGTAAAAATTTTCACTATTCCTTTGATTTGTCATAAACAGACTATTTTTGTATATTGAATAAATATAATTTATACAATATATTCCTCGTTTTCTTCATTCTACAGGATTTTCCCTAAATACTTTAATCTCCAAATGTCTCCAATAACATATATTTGCATTAGCAGGTATTGAAAAATAGTATATTACTACATTTAAAATAATTTTGATAGCCATACACAAGAACTTTAAATGACCTACCTAAAATAGGAACTGAAGCACTCCTTAGAACATTAGTACCCAATAAATCATTGCTTCTCTTGATCTTCCCCCATCCCGCTACCACTGCCTCTCTCCCAGTCAGCTCCATGTCATTGTCCGGCAAACAAATGGGAGAAATATGGAAATGGGTGCTGGCTTCGGTCGCCAACTCCAGGAGGGCCAAATCAAATCTATCAGGTTGAGTGGCTCGATATCGGAATTGCGGATGAACGATCTTTTTGCGGACCTGAAAATGGTTTTAAATCAATGGAGGTTTGGGTAATGTATCGTTTTGTTGGAAATTTATAGGCAGTGAAATATTCCAGGCCTTTCTTAAATTTAGCTGTTTTCTAAATTACGTACTTCTGTATAAAAGTTTCTATAAATAACTATAAGAAGTATTATTTAAATTATAAATTTATCTTTTATAAAATTTTCAAATATGTCAATAAAATTAAGTTTTTTTATGTCAGCATACAGGGTGTAAAAAAATATTAAAACCAAAATGGGAATGCATGGTTATGGCACACGAAATGAAAGAGGAGAAAAATTATATAACTTCTTCTTCTTCTTCTTCATGTGCCTTGTCCGTTCCGAACGTTGGCAATCAACATGGCTATTCTGACTTTGTTTACGGCAGATCTGAATAGTTCAGCAGATGACAATCCGAACCATTGCCGCAAGTTTTGGAGCCACGAGTGTCTTCCCCTCCCTGGACCCCTTCTGCTGTCTATTTTCTCTTGAACGATCAGTTGTAGTACTCTATATTTATTATGTCTCATAACGTGACCCAAGTATTTCAACTTTCTTTTCTTTATACTTATTCCTACCTCTCTCTCTTTACCTATCCGGCGTAGTACTTCTTCGTTGGTCACGTGCTCAGTCCAGGATATACGTGATATACGTCGGTAAGCCCACATTTCGAAGGCCTTTACTTTTTTCATCAATGTTGCGGTCATTGTCCACGCCTCCATTCCATATAAGAAAACCGGGAATACATAACATTTCAGAAGTCGAATTTTGAGAGGTAGGGTGAGGCTTTTAGAGGTGAAAATTTGCTTCATGCTAGTGACCGATGCTCTTGTCTTTTCTACTCTTATACGTATTTCCTTCGCTTGATCCCAATTTAAGTTAACTGTTGTTCCCATGTAGATGTACGAATACACGTGTTCAATTCTTTCATTGTCTAATATCAGTTGCTGTGGTGGTTGTTGGGTTTTGCTTACTAACATCCATTTGCTTTTTGTGATATTTAGTCTGAGTCCGTATTGTGCACTTGTTTTTTGTATCTTACTCATTAGGCAACTCAGTTCCTACATGCTTCTTGCTAAAATCACAGTGTCATCAGCATACCTTATGTTATTAATTATTTCTTCATTTATCTTTATGCCTTCTGTGCTTTCCTCCAGCGCTGTCTTAAATACTTCTTCTGAGTATATATTAAAGAGAATTGGAGACAAGATACAGCCCTGTCGTATCCCTTTCTTGATCTCAATTTTATTGGTCAATGTAGATCCTACTTTCACTTTAGCTGTTTGACCTATATAGAGACTCGCTATTGTTCGAATGTCTCTGTAGTCGACTCCGATCTTATGGAGAACTTCAATTATCTTTTCGTGCTTTACGTTATCGAATGCTTTTGCGTAGTCTATAAAGCATATGTACACGTCTTTGTTTATATCTCTGCAGCGCTGGATGAGTACCTGTAGACTAAAAAGTGCTTCTCTTGTCCCAAGAGAATTCCGAAACCCAAACTGCGAATCTCCAATGTTATCCTCGCATTTTTTGCTTATTCTGTTGTAAATAACCTTGGTGTATGCCTTCGAAATGTGGTTAATTAGACTTATCATCCGATGTTGATCACAAGACTTTGCTTTTGGTTTTTTCGGCATGGCAACAAAAGTTGACTCTAGCCAGTCTTCAGAAAACTCCCCGCTGTTATAAATATTGTTAAACAGTCTGACGAGTGAGTTGTGAAATTGACTGTTTGTTTCGCACAGCATTTTCAATACTTCCCCGTATACGTTATCGGTGCCTGGTCTTTTGTTATTTTTAAGACCCTTTATAGCATTCTCCACTTCTGATTTTAGAATAGAAGAGCCAGTATCATCATTGCTCAGTGTACACCCACTAGGACGATCATCATTAAACAGTTGTTCCACATAAGTTTCCCAGATTCTAACTATTTTGTCGGGGTCTAGTTGTAGATTTCCATTATCATCGCCCAGCTTTTCTTTGTTGTGAGTTCCTTTATCTTCTTATGCATATTGTGATAGTCGTATACCTTTTCGCACTGTTCGATTTCTTCGCATCTCTCCGAGAACCATTTCTCTTTAGTTTTTCTTATCTCAGCTCTTATTCGTCTATGAGTTTCACGGTATTTGGCAGTATCTTTAGTTTTATATATCCGTCTCTCTTCCATCATGTCAAGGATTTCTGCAGTCAACCGGTCTTTCTTTTTTCTCTTATCAGGTAGTAAAAACTTAGTGCTTGAAGTCCTAATCTCTTTTTTAATTTCACTCCACTTTTCCAGCGGTTCATTGCTATTTTTAAGGATTTTTGATATTTCGGTATTTAAATTTTCCTGCATCTGTTGTTTAATATTATTGTTGGAAAGCTTCCTAATATCTAGCGTTTTGGGCCTGTTCTTTACATTTGGCTTTTTTAACTTTACTTCAAACTTACATACCACCGGATTGTGGTCTGATGCTACGTCCGCACCCGAATTTGATGGAGTTTCTAAACCTGATTGGTGCAGCGATATAATCTATTTGATTTCTGATTATTTTACCAGGTGAGTCTGCCGGTGATTTCCAGGTATAGAGACTACGGTGCGGGAGCTTAAAGAAAGTGTTAGTAAGTACTATATTCTTCTTCTTCTTAGAAGTAACTTCTTAGAGCAACAAAATTTATATGCCATGAACACATACTTAAAGAAACCAGCAAACCGAAAATGGACTTGGATATCTCCGATATCCGATATCTACCGATAAAAAGACGAAAAACGCGATTGATTACTTCTTGTGTGGGAACAAAGCAATTTTTGGAGATATAACTGCTCTTAATCGATTCACAACTGGCAACGATCATCGCTTTTTAAGGGCAAGGATTCCTATTAAACAGATGGAAACCAGCAGAAACAGACCACCACCGTTTTGCAATTTTAAAAAGCTTACGGCTATATCCAGTTCCTCTACAACCTCCTGAAGATTCTTATAGGAGAGACACCTGGTTTATATTGCTCCATACAAAAAGAACAGCTGCAGTCAGAAGGGCTCTAACTAATGTTCAATACTATAATCAATATCTTTATCGAATAACTTAATCCTTAAAATAATCTGATAATATAATTATTTTCACAAGGATCCAAATTATAATTTTTAAATATATGCTTGATCGGCCAATGTATATTTCCAATTCATCAAAATAAATTACCTCGATTTGAAACAGTGATCATGACTAGCCGAAATTTGATAACAGACCTTATGGCTATGCAACTAATGATACATTTTAGACATTTTTAATGTAACAAGCGTTACCCCAGAGAAAATACCTTTGGAAATAGAAGACTAAAATAGGAGAACCCTCCAATAAGATAGATCGACGACTTGCAACGCACACGAACAAACTTGATAAAAAGATTAAGAGATAGAGAGCTGTATCTAAGACTTAAGGTCCAATACGTCTAGCAATCAACAGTTTTATAACCTTAATGATGATTATCAGTAAGGATTGCTACCAGTATGGCCAAATTTGGAAATAAATAAGCAACATAAAAAATACACAAAATTAATTTCTTAAGATTCTTATAGTTACCATATGTAAGTCTGCAGGAGCTAATTCCTTAACTGATCCTGTGTCCTGAGTATCAAGTTCTCCTAAATATATCCAAATATCTTTTAAATTTGCAGCTATAATACAGTGGGCAGCTGTAGCTACAAACTTTCTTGACACTAAAACAAAAATACATTTAAATTATCCATGTAAAAAATAAGAATCTGATAGGATTTTTCTTGTAACCTGTAACTTAAGATAATAATTACCGTGAACGATGGAACGCAAAAGGCGGTCCAGTTGCTTGACTAGCAAGGTGTACTGATTTAAATCCTTACGATTTTTGTGGATACTTAAAATAAATGGTTTATTTGAAACCAATAAAAACACCCGAATAACATTGGATACGTATTCAGAATACCTGCGACGGAACAATAGAAGAGTTTTTGCAAGAATTAGGCTATCTTTACGTACGCGAATATATTTGTTTGCAAAAGTTTGACAATAACGGAATTGTTATTTTTTTATTTTCCTTGGCCAGTTTCTTCTTCTTACAGCCGTTCCGGATGTTGGCGATCTACATGGCTATCCTAACTTTGCTTGCTGCTATTCTAAATAGTCCAGGTGTCGATGTAATAAACCACTTTCTCGGGTTTTGAAGCCAAGATATTCTTCTTCTCCCTGGTCCTCTCTTTCCAAATACCTTGCTCTGAAGAATGAGTTGCAACAAGCTGTATCTCTGTTCATTCCTCATAACATGGCCAAAATATTCTAGTCGCTCTTTGATGGTGTTAATAATCTCGCATTCCTTGCCTATTCTACGTTAGGACCTCAATATTAGTCACACGATCCACCCAAGAAATTCTTAAAATATGTCTGTAACACCACATCTCGAATGCCTCGAGTTTTTTTAAAGAAACTTCGGAAAGTGTCCAGGCCTCTTCTCCGTATATATATAATAACGTAGAAAATACACAGCATCTAATAAGAGAGATTTTGGTAGCAAGTGGTAAATCGTGACTTCTGAAAAGAGACTTCATCATTATGAACGCTGATCTTGCTTTTTCTATGCGTTGTTTTATTTCAATGGAGTGATCCCATTGGCTGTTAATGTTGGTACCAAGGTATGTGTAGCTGTCCACTCTGTCAATTGGATGTTGGTTAACCAAAAGATGTGTATTTTTAATCTTTTTTAATAAGCTTTTCTTTGTATTAAAATGAAGTCCGTGTTCTCTACTTATATCTGATATACGCGACTTTATTCTTTGCAAATCGTCCAGATTCTCTGCAAAAACTACTGCGTCGTCGGCATATCTAATGTTGTTTAGACGCATTCCGTTATATATTAAATAACACCGGGGACAGAATGCATCCTTGACTCACTCCTCTATCTATGAAGACTGCCTCTGTTAATTGGTTATCCACTTTAATATTGGCTGTTTGATTGTAATATAAATTATAGATTATTCTCAAGTCCCTATTATCTAACCCTACTTCTTTCAAGATGTTTATAAGTTTATCATACTTTCCTCTATCAAATGCCTTTTTGTAGTCGATAAAACGAGTATACACATCACAGTTAACACAGCTGCATCTTTGCATAAGCACTTGGACAGCGAATAGAGCTTTTCGGGTGCCTAGGAATCGCGGAATCCAGACTGCGTCCATGATACTTGTTTTTCGCATTTTTTATATATTCTGCCGTGTATCACTTGGTCAGCTCACACAATTAGAAATGAACTTGATGGTCAGTAAAAACATATGCATTGATACACGAAAAATATAAATCAATTTTTTTCGAAATTGGTGCGACATAGATACCTGTCCTAAACAAGCCTCTGATGACTGTATTTAAAAAACGTATTCACGTATTCACGTAAAACTATTGAGTACATTCCACTAAGTAAATATACAGAATGCTACATCTTATAGTATACTGTTTTGACTGTTTGGACATTTTAATTAAACTGATGCTAGGGCACCATTCTTAAAAAGCTTTAGTGCCTTGGAAATCATTTTTGGATCAGATAGTTTAGGTCAATTCGACACAAAATAAGTTTCAGAATAGGTACTTTTCTTTCGTATATTACTTACCTAATACTCCCCCACACTGAAAAGTCTTCACCTTAATATAAGCTTGCCAAGGGAACTGTGCAAAATTAGCTTCTTTTCCTCCAATAATACGCTTCGATAATACTCTTTCAAAAGATATGCCGCACTGATCATAATTATCTTCCAACAATGGGGAGAAGTCGTCGATCCTCTTTTGCAAAGTGAGCCCAGTATTATCTTCAAATCTAATTTAGACATAAATAAAAAGATCAATAAACGAATACAAGGGAATAATGAGTAAATAATTAACAGAATTAAACTAGCAATGACAAACAAGCTTTTCGAGTCCAAGACAATATTTAATAATATAATCAAATTCTACATCAGACAAGAATGGAAATTTTTAATTAGCATAATAAAACGAAATATATGATTGGAATAGAAAAAATTATGCTTGTGTATGTTAACTGATAATAAATATTTTTATTATCGTATTAACCCTTTTTTTATCAATTACGAAAAGTTAATAATACCTGCTTTTTAATTTGAGTTTTTAAAAATTTCAATATGATTTCAAAATTGGCGTAATTAAATTATCTGGGCAAAAAATTAAAATGCACCTTTAAACTTAGTTTTTTTTGTACTCTTTTCAAATCTGTACCTCGGAGAGATGCAACATTATGCTCTTTTTTCCAATTTTGAGATTTTTACACACTAATAATCAACTTTTATCACTTTATTTAAAGGAATAAAGTAGTAGGTCCTAAACCATTTGGTTTTTTTAAATTTTAATATATGTGTAATAGTGCCTTTTGTAAAGTACAACATATTCGTAATCTCACGATTAGTAAGAAAGACAATTAATAATTATAACTACACAATTTTGATATTTATTTGTTAACAGATATCTTAAAAAAGAATTAAAATAAATTCGAAAGCTTGACAGTAAGTCAAAGAGTTTTCTTTGCCTTGTGGGCCAAATACACCAAATGCATCCTCAAGAATCACCACTTGATATTGCTTGAGTATCTTAGCATCCTTGTAATGTTTATTACAATTATTGTGGTTTACTTTAAAAGGTTTTAATACGCTCGTAGCTTTTCATTGCGTAAATCTTTTTTTGCATTTTATCGTTGGTTTAGAGCCTTTAATCACTTTCGCAAATAAAAAAAAAATAAGAAAATGTACTTCAACTTACTCTAGATTTTCTTGCAAATCATTGTAATCCTCGTAAGGAATGACAGCTGGCATAGAATCTGTTGTGCCCGTTACGCAACAAGCTACTATCCACGGACTGCCTCCACATCCTGACTGGCTGGAGCCTCCAACTATCCAACAGGCAAGTGACAAAGTGCAGGCATGATGTTGTCCTTTTCTTTCACATTTCGATGGAAATCCCAACATTTTAACAAAAACTCGACCTAAAAGATATATTTTTATTCGATTTAAGTTTATTTAATAAAAGAATGGAAACTCTATACAATTTGTAAGAAAAAAACTTATTAAAAAGTAGAAACGAATTTATTTCCGTAACTATTGGTTGGTAAAAAATATGTTTTGGTTTAAAGAATAACCAATAAACTTGAACAAACAAACTTAACTTCTCAAAAAAAGATACATCACATCTGCTATCAACAGAATGTTGTAAAACTCAAACTCAAATCTGATTATAGTAACTGCTGATCTTCCTTTCAGTCCCTCCAATTACCTCCGAAGGAGTTTTCTATTCGTAACAAACTTTATTGTTTTAGAGTTTGGGTTTTCCCAACTTTTTTCGTTGTAGATAAAAGAATCGAGAAACAGCAGCTTCAGCAAGCTTATAAATAAATAAATTAAGTTCTACTACCAGGAAATTTTATTTATGAGCATAATTTTGATTTAATTTTTTCAAAATGTCTATTCATTTTGCCGTACTCTATCTTTAAGTGATACCGCATGATATAAAAAAACATCAAAGAAAGGTCAATCCATTTTTTACATACAGGAAGTTTTCGGTAAAGTTTCGTAACACCAGATTTTCATATAGATTAAATTGATGTCTACTTCACTAACGATATCTTATCAGCAAATCTTATCTTTGGACCGTTACATCAATGTCGACGTGGACGATGAACTCTATGATAATTACTATATAAAAACAGGCTTTTTTGCCTTATTTCATGGTAAAGTTTTCAGATCATTTGTGCTGATGTGTCGATAAAAAACGACACAAACATTGTAGCAGAAAAGGGGTTAGAAAAATATTGACCAAAGAAAAATCTTAACTATATTAAAAATAGACAAGGAAGTAAATCACCGCGAATAATTTTCCTACTACCTATTTATAAATAAAAAATTCTACAACAAAAATCTTGCATAAAATAATTAAACAAAGAGTAAATTTAGAGTTTTTGGTGAAACTTGGAAAATACACGTAGAAAATCTGTGAAACAAATTGTTTATCGAAATAATTTCCTATCCCATGCCAGTTTTGAAGTAATTTTAACATTAATAAGTAAAAGTAAAGTAAATTTTGTGTAACCTTCTGGCTAAGGTCAAGTGTTAGGGTTTTCAGATCGCGCAAGCGCCCCTATCCTGACTTAACGAATACTTTCGTAGCCGGGACCGACGGCTTTACGTGCCCTCCGAAGCATGGTAGCAGCTCAGTTAAATTGGAAATTTAAAATTTTGTCAGTAACATTGCCACTGAGCTATGGCTGCCACACATTAATAAGTAATCAGCAACATTAACATTTTAAGTAAGCGATACAGGATGTTGAATATGATGTTGATGAAGTTACGTGAAGTTTCAAACAGTGGTGAAAATCGATATAAAAGCACGTGAAGTTTTTATAAGAAACTACACATAAGACAAGTTTGTACTAATCTTAATGACCTATGATATATAATACATCGACAAGGACTTGTATTCCTTGCTAGTATTGGTGACGAAACATTTTGTATTTTTTAATATAACACAAAAAGTAAATGACAATCTAAAGTAAAAGACTCAAAACAGTAGTTCACATGTAATATGTTTCCCAAAAGTAAAGTAGACAATAAGTCAATATTCTCTGAGGAAGAATTCGCAAACAGAAGCCCGAAATGTGAAAAAAGAGCTTGTATTCTCCACCATGATAATAGTCTGGCATACAATGCACATTCTGTTAAGAATATTATTTGGTCAAAACCCAAGTCACAGTCATGGAACGCCCGCCTCTTTCACCAGATTTAGCACTCTGTGAATTGTATGTTCCAAAAAATAAATTCTGCTTAAAAGGAACGCCACATTCATTAGAGGACGTAAAAAAAATCGATTGGGTTAAGATTTGCACCTAGGATACTAATCGAAAAGATATTCTTTTATATTCTATTCTCGATTGTCGGGTAGTCAACAATCGACCACTCGTTTTGGCTTTTGTAGATTTCCATAAAGCCTTTGACGTGGTAGAACTTGACAAAATCCTGGAAGCACTACAAGCATGCCGCATTGACTACCGATATACAAGGTTAATTTACAATACATACAAGAATGCAACTATATCGGTAAAACTACATGAAAACAGGGATCAAATCCCTATCAGCAGAGGAGTCCTTATCGGACAAGGTGATACCTTATCGCCTAAACTATTTACCGCAGTACTAGAATATGCTTGTAAAAAACTTAACTGGGAAGAGAAAGGTGTGAACATTGACGGTAGAATATTACCAAATTTTAAATTCGCAGACGACATGGTTTTGTTCTTGGACAACCTCAAGGAGATATGTACAATGCTACATGAACTTCAGTTAGTGTGTGCCAGTGTGGGTCTTAAAATAAACATCTCCAAAACAAAATTTATAACAAACCTAGTACCTAGCGGAAATATCAATATTGGAAACAACGAAGTAAAGCTGGTGCAAAATACATATATCTTCACGACATAAAGATCACAAGAGACAATCAAACATGCGAACTACGAAGGAGAATAAACCTAGCATGGGCAGTCTATGGAAAACTTAAAGACCTTTTTAAAAGCGATATACCAATTTCTTAAAAACTTAAAACATTTGACCAATGTGTGTTGTCTGTGATGACTTATGGTGCCGAAACTTTGACATTGACAGCTACAAGTTCTGAAACGCTGCAATATGAAAAGTGCTCAAGATGGAGCACAATGGACAACAATGAGGGAGGCCTATGTCCCGCAGTGGAGGCAAAGGGATGGGCGATGATGATGATGATGTAAAACCCCTATTTAACTTGCTTAAACTTCCCTATAATTTAATGCATATATACCATTTCTGAAAACGTGTACGTGTAAATTTTCTATTACAATGGTAATAGAAAATTTATTTTTTCTTTATAATCTTAAATGCACAGTATTTGGAATATTTATTACTGACAATATGTATTGTTGATGCTACTATCTAACAGATAGTAACCATAGCAACAAGTGTTATACAGCCGGGTAGAAAATTTTTAGAACATAATAAAAAGTAGCCCCACCTCGATCAAAACTGGCTTATAATCGAACAAGGATTAAGAGGCTAAGAAGTTTTTAAAATATTGTATTTAACTAATGGTACTCAATAATAATTTAATTGGAACGTATACAAACATTTGGGGAGGTTTAAGGGAACAGAACCCCCATACAAATTTTATGGGGTGTACCAATTTCACTATAATTTTTTAAAGATATTCTTGCCATAAGAAAACCACATGTTTATTTTCAATATAAAATCTCTAACAGTTTTTGATATATTGGAAAAAATCGATATTCATTTTGTAACTTCAAACTGGCAAAAAGTAAAACTGAAATAGTGCATTTAAGAAAACAATGGTTTTCCTCGTTATACTTTTACAATTAAATTTGTTTGTCCAATGAATGGAGATGATATTCTATTTTAAATTCAATATTTTTTATATACATTTTATGTAGATAAAATACTTCAAGAAAAAGTTAGAAATCACTATACCTGTAACACTAACCCCCTTCCTATACCCTTGTAGATGCTCATCTTCATAGAATTGATCGTTCCAATCGTGCGCCGCCGAAGACTGCCGGCTGAAAATAGAGAACCCATCGACAACACTACAATAAATAAACACCAGTAAGAATCGCATCTCTTGCACATCTTGCACTCAACTATTTTCACAGTCACATTTTTTATTGTTCTCAATAATTATGTGCGGAAGGCAGCGGCTGTAACGAGAACAAGATTAAATTGTTGTTGATGATGGCTGGCTGCCAGTCGACTAACAGTAAAAGAATGATTGGTAACGGCACTAGTCCGAAAGTAACCTACTAACTTGGCCATTTACTCCTTCGAAATTGTGTCTGCAAGTAGCATATGAGATTCGAGTGAGGAAGTGGCCCACAAAAGTCTGCAAACTTCAACTTCGCTACATTAGGTATACATGTGAAGTATTAGAAATACACTGCTTAAACTAAATAAAAACATTGTTTCTGCCTTGGTACTTTCTTGTGTCAATTATATACTGCTGGGTTAGAAGAAATTGCTTTGAAATTGTTTAACATTTACCCTTTAATAAAAAATATTGCCAAAAACAATATGTGAATCTAATAAAAACGCAAAAAATGTTGCAAAATATGAATATGAGTATGTTTGTCTATGGAGTGCTTTTCAGATAAAACTATCAACCTTAAATAACTCTTGAACTTAATTTTTTTAGAAAAAGCGCAAAAACCGTCAATTCCCTTAATATCGCACCCCGTATCATCCCTTAATTTTTTAAATTGCTTTCGCATTTTTTATTTAATATTTGTATTTTCATCAATTTTTATTTTTAAATACCCCTAGAAGTCTAGGTGTGTTAAATCTGGTGACTTAGGTGGACAATCCATCATCTGTTCTCTTTTACCTCTTCATCGAGCGGGAAAAGTTTCGTTTAAAAATAATTGTCGCACATTAAAAATTTTATCAATATTTTCTACTCTTTTTTTTTTTAAGTAACTCAAGATACGATGCACTGTTTAAGTTTCTTGATAAAGAAGCGTGCGATACTGTGACTACCTAGGATACCACACCATATTTTTAATCTTTGAAGATGTTGTGTGTGACCGATTAAAATCAACTCTTCTATCAATTTAATTTTTTATGGATGAAACTTAAATTTATGGCGTTTTTGGAGGGCTGTATAAGGTAAAATACCGATTCCTCTGCTTATTGATAAAACTGACTGTGATTGCTTAGTCTCGAAGTTCACCTTTCCTAAAATGGCTACTTGTATTGCTTCGTTATTTACGCTTCGAGATTTACGGAAAACTGGTAATAGAAAATGGAACAATAGAAGAAAAATACAAGCACATAGTACACAGTATTAAAGAAGCAGCAGAAGAGGCAATAGGCACTCAAAGACGCGCCAAACAAAAACCATATTGGTGGGATGAGGGAATAGATGAAATGATAAAGAAGAAAAA